TGGGTAGAGAGAATCGTGAAGGAGAGAGAGGAAAATCGTGAAAATAACCCTCTTCTCGAACTCTAACCCTTCAAATACCCCTCTAGTTGCGACACTCTCGCTACAGCGAGATATTCTCGTTGCAGCGATGTCCCATTGCTGCAGCGACACGCCCCCTCGCTATAGCGAAAAAATAAGAGAAAACTGCACTCTGGTTTTTGTAGAATCTCGCTACAGCGAGACTACACCCAGAAATGCACCCCAGACTGTTGCTCTCTTGCTACAGCGAGAAGACGATAGTTCTGGTCCTTTCTCCCAGGGCCCTCTCGCTGCAGCGAGAACTGCCAGTGTATTGCCCTGCACTCAGCCCAACCAGTCAAATTCAAACATACATCCACCCATATATATATATATATATATACACACACACACACACACACACACACACACACACACACAAAACATATTCACATCACATCTCTAAAATGCACACATGAAAATACCTTTTATTTTTATATAATTATCAAAATTAATATCACAAAATTTGGGGCGTTACATTGCATGATGAGTCACTAACTCATCTAGAAAATTTAAAGTTTTTAGGCATATTTCATTGAATTTGAATTATAAGTTAATGCAATTAATTAAGAAATTCAATGGAATGTTGTATTTGCTAGAAAATTCATGAATCACTCAAATTCTGAAGGTTGACAGTTTTATTTTGAAGGGATTAGAAAGAAAATTGCAATTAAACTTAAAGAGCAAAAGATGAGTGTTGCAGGACTCATTTGTGGGGACACAAATTCCTGATTATGGGGACACACTGCTGACTGAGCATATAAAAGCGAAAAACTTCTGAAAAGGCAGCATCTTGGCATCTTTTACTTTTCTGTCTTTTACGATTTCAGAGCGCAAAAACCTAGGTTTTACATACAGCTTATGTAGAATATGGTAGCTAGGGTATTTTTCTTTACATCTTTGCTAGAGGATTCTTATGGGAACTTGAATTTCATCTCATTTTTTCTGGTTTATGTACTGAAACAATAACTTTATCATTTCATCCACTTGCTGTAAGCTTTTCTGTAAACATGAATTAAGTATTTGCAATATATTTCAGTTTTATATTATCTCTTTGCATTATGCTAGCTAGATCTCTTTGGGTTGAGTGATGATTAACTTATACCTTTGCCCTTTGCAATGAACTAATACTGGATATAACTCAAGATCCATGCTTTAATCTAACATCTTAATTTTGAACTTAATGCTTCCTTATTTTACATGAATAGGGTTGATAAAAAGGAGTTTATTATTGGAAAGTAGTAAGTTTTTTTGGACTGGGATTAATTTGCTCATTATAAATTATCTAGGAATAGAAATTTGTGATGATGTGGTCAATGGATTTAATTCTTAATGCTGAATGTCTTTAATTGTATCTAAGGAATTAGGACACTAATTTCATTTTAGAACTAATTACCAAGGAATTGGGGTTGGGTACTTTAGAAAATCTGATCATTAGATGAAGTTGTATTTTGAGTTATAAATTTTTTTGTATGCAAGGAGAAAGGGATAAGGAATTTTGAACTCAACTTACTTTAAATTGTTATCAGACCCAATCTGAGTAATCATAATATTTACATTCTGCAGTTAATTTACTTTGTGTTTCCAAATCTAGTTTCTCATTTTGCATATTATACAATTAATTTCCAGCATTTTAATTTAGTTTTTATAATTCTACACTTAATTAATTTTCGCTCTATTTCTACTCTGTTTTTAAGTGACCCAACTAGTGTCATTCTTGTGGTTTGGTATTTAATATTAATCTTTGTGGACGATAATCTTTTGTTACTTCAACGATTTGGTGCACTTGCCAAAAAGTTATTAGTGCATGGATGTGGACTTGATTGGGTTCACTGACTCAGATTAGAAAGAAAGATCTTGATGAGAAGAAGAGTACTGTTGAACATGTGTTCATGTACTGCAGGACTCCGATATCTTGGAGCTCAAGGAAATAGGATGTAGTAGCACTATCAACCTGTGAGGCAGAATATGTAGCAAGAGCAGTTGGAGCATGCCAAGCTGTTTGGTTGAAATCATTACTTGAAGAAATGAAGCTAAGCGAAGTAAAGCGGGTGAAGATACTAATTAATAATCAGTCTCCCTTCAATCTAGCTAAACATCTTATAACACACTGCAGAACCAAACATATTGATACAAGGTTTTATTTCCTGCAAGACCAAGTCAGTAAAGGGACAGTAGATGTGGAATTCTGTAGATCTCATAACCAGCTAGCTGATGTTATGACTAAGGCTTTGAGGCCTGAAAGATTCGAAAACCTAAGAACTATGTTAAGAATGAAAACATTAAATGATTTGAATTAAGGAAGAGCTGTTAAGTATAATTCAAATCAATAAAAAATGTATTAGCTGTAATTGTTTAGAGTAAAAAGTCTTGTACATGTATAAAAGGGTTAATATCCATGTTGAATCAACAGATTTTCTAGCATTCCATTTAAACATAAGCTTTCGTCTCTCTTCCTTGATCTCTTATTCACTCTATTTTTTTTGTTTCTATGAGTTACATCATTAAAGTTCAAAGGGATCAAAATTGAACAAAAATAATAACTCCACTCTTTATTGAAGCTTATCATATAGAGTATTTAACTATTTAAATCATTCTAGGCGACAAGGTCAGCAGTCAAGTGTTTTATCATTGGTATGGAATTATTCTTAATACAATTCCAAATTTTTTTTGAAGGTACTAAGCAAACTATATCTTGGACATTTGCAAACGGCAAGTGTTCCTGTTACTATTTTTTTTTTTTTCATAAACGGCCCAAAAAGATTTTGCTGTATTTACCGGTGAAAAAGGAAATTAATTAGCCATGCATGAATCTCCATCGACATATGAAATTTATGTCAAATCCTATTGACAAGAAGGGAGTAATTCTTGCACGAGCAATATATAGCAACCTCAAATCATTACATTTTTGCTTCGTGTCGTTTTACACTTCCTTTTATTTTGTTTTTGGGTCAACATGTCGTTTACACTTCAAACAGCATGTTCTCACAACTGTAGCCACTCTTCGTTATCAAGCTGGGTCCAATTTAAGGCTTGCGGTCCATTTCAACAGGCCCAACTTTTGAAAAAGCCTAAATTGGAATTTTGACTAAATTGGATATTGCTTGATAGGATGGACTAACGGATTAAAAGATTTTGAGGTGGCTGAATTCATGACCGGGAGTCTTCCCATGAGATTAAGAGGGGAAGGTAAAGTTAGGTGGTGTTTGATTTGAGAAATTTTTTTCTTAATTTTAATTATATAATTATTATATATATATATATATTTAAAAAAATTTATATAAAAATATTGAAATTATGTTTTCAATTAATTTTTTTCTTGTATATATTTTTGAAAGTTAGAATAAAACAAAAATAATATGGTATTTTTGTAATAAACACACACACATATATAAATGATACCTCATGTTTGCATTGATTTTTTCCCCTTTTGATTCTTTGCTTTAAGGTTGTACATCTTATTACTAATAATGTGTTTTTGTTGTGAGAAAACATTTCTTCCGGACAAGTTTATCTCTAAAATGAGTAAGGATACAACCATATTTAACTTTTAATTAATTAAAATAATGAATTGTTTTAGACTGAATATGGATAAATATATTCTTTTATATTCGTTTTAGAGACGTTCATCACGATGGGAAAATTTTTTTGGTCAATATAAAAATTTTCCAATTCAATTCCGATCAGAATTAAACATTTTATTTTTATTCTTTTATTTTATTCTGATCATTTTGATTCTTATCAATTCAAATCAATTCAAGTGCATCCTTTAGCATAATGTATTAAACAATATCATAATGTAAATAATGTCTATAGACATATTATTAACATCTAATTTCTATAATTTTTTGTTTCAATTTTCTCATAGTTCTATCTGTTAGGATATTCTTCATTTGATATATTTTTCTTACTATAACTTTTACAAATTTCCTTGCACATGGTAAAACCACCTAATTAGGTAAATTTTTACTATAATTTCTACTCAAGGGTGATATCCCGACGTGCTTATCTCTACTACATTGCATATATTTTCCCGTTAACAACATTTAATTTTACCTATATAATATCACAAATCTAACAGTTGTGCAATAATCTTTTTCTCTCAACTCCTATTTATCACAAATAACACTCTCGCGTCTTATCCATTTTGCTTATCCATCTTACTTGAATTTGATATTTTTCATCTCTCTATTTTATTATTATTGCACAAGATACATCCTAGATACTAAAAATCATGTGACTTGTGTTAAAGAATGTTTTCTAAAGTATACGTCGAAGTTAGGGTTGCTGTAGCTCTTGCTAAACTTGAGCGAATGCCATGAGTAGATAGAATTTTTATTTTACTTTTTTTCGTTTCTTTTCAGTCCTGGAAGTAAATAAATTTAATGCGACACCGGAGAAGCAGAAATCAGGCGTAGTTGTTGAGTGAAGTCGGTGTCAAGAACCAATTACTGGTGGATTTCTCACAACCCGCATCAAGAATCAAGTGCTGTTTGAGGAAACTTTTTCCAAAGGCTGCTTTTGCATTAGATTCATCGATTTCTCGTAACAAAACAAAATCTTGCATTTGCATATGCTACCCACCATGCCTCCACTACCTTCACTTCTTAATGTACATGACAACTAAACCCTAAAGTTTTTGTGTTTACCAAGATCATATATTCCTGTAGACCAGCTTTACTCTATTATTTTAGTCTCTTATAAACATATAGGTTGACTACTACCCCTGATATAACGTCAAAACACCCCAAATCTTTCATTCTGATGATGCCTACTATTTAAATATTTTAATTTATTTTATAGAGGACCCACACTTCTTAGCCACTAGCCTACTTCTTAACAATATGTATTAGCATTTTAGAGGTAAAGTAAAGAAAAGGGAAAAAAGTTGAAAAGGTAAAATGTAAATTAAGGTGCATAAACGCTACGAAGCAATTGAGAAACACTTTGTTTTTCATTCATTGCAAACCCTCTGGTAGACCTTGAAATGCCTTACGAGATAGCAAAACAAACACCATTAACCAAACATCCAGACGGAAGCAAACGATAGAAAGACACGAGAGTGAAAGAAAGAAAAATCTAATACTACACATCCATATTCATTAACCATCTAAAATCCAACCAAACAAACATAAAAGTAAGAGACTCCAAAATACAGATTATCAACTATAAACTATAAATTAAGGAGTTCTATCTAATATCGAGAAAAAAAAAAGAAAAAAGAACAGTAGTGAACAAAAAAGATAAAAGCAGTTACTGCGGTTAATTTGGATATGCTCCATTTGTTGTCGGAAGATCAGACCAGGCAAGGGTTGGATTCCAGCACCCGAATTCACTGTTCCCAGAAACTGAAGACGACTCCAAAATGCTGGATAAAGAAGAGGAAGAAGCCATGTTGCCTAGAAACACTGGCGAGTTATCACTGCCACAATAATTCACTGACGAAGATGATCTGAGCTTGTGGTAAAGTTCTTGAATTCCACTGCTTGGATGCTCTCCAAGTACAAAGCCGTTACTTTGTTGTTGAGTCTGATCTTGATTGTTTCTCCAAAAAGAACTGCATAGACCCAGTGAAGGAACTTGTCCAACTCCATCGTAACCAAGAGTTCTAGGACTCATCAACCCATTTGCAAGTAATGGCTCATTCACCACGTGGGACTGCGATCCCATTAAGTTCCCTTCTTCCTTGACAGTAACAGACATGGGACTAGGGTTAGGGTTAGGGTTTTGATTTTGGGCAGCTCTCAGTAAAGCCATCAGATGAGTATTTTGCGGTGAACCCCAAAGAATTGGGGTTTGTGGAAGCTCTTGGTCGAAGTTATTAGGACCAAGTCCTGATGATGACCTTCCAAACTCAGAGGCTACCGCTTTCATCTTTGTAGCTGTTTGCTTAGCCCCCGAGTTGGACACGCCGGCGTTCTTGTTTTTCCGGCAGCCACCTCCGATGGGAACATTCCTGAGAGCACCACCTTTGGTCCAGTAACGGCGACATGTCTTGCAGAAGTGGCGCGGCTGAGTGAGGTTGTAGTTGTTGTAGTAACAGAACTTGGTGTTTGAAGAATCGCATCGTGGGCACCTCAAGTTTTGGTTGTCTGAAGTGGACGAGGCGGGGGTTGTGGTTGTGGAAGTGGTGACACTCGTTGTACAAGAAGGAGAAGGAGAAGAAGGGAGTGAAGTTGGAGAAGGTGTGGGTGGTGGTCGTAGAAGTCCTCCTCCTCCGTTAATGGAGATTTTCCTTTCTCCTGCTATGAGGCTAGTAGCACCCCCCAACAGTTCTTGGATCATCTTTATCTTTTAGATCTAGAACAATCCAAAAACACCAAAAGCAAAAGGGTGGTGCACTGGTGAGTCTTTTTGCGTTAGTGGAGAAAAGCGAAAGAAACTAAAGTAGGTTTTGCTCTGTGTGTTAATGTATGCGTGAAATGGGGAGAATGAGTGAGAGAGAGAGAGAGAGAGAGAGAGAGAGAATTATATGATGAATCACCTTCGGGAATTCAATTGGGTTGCTCGGTTGTTTTATGCTAGGATAGCTTCTTTGTCGGTTAGGTCCTTCTTGTTGCAAACGAATGTATAGAATGGGGACTGCCATGATTATTTATAAGTATTTTTATAGACTCCATGTGAGAGAAAGACACCCATGATTCATGAGCTCCTATTTAGGCCATCCATTTCATAAACGACAACTCGTTATTAATGTTGGAATTTGTATTTGAAGACAAGGTATATCATTATAGGGGGAAAAATGTTAAGTTGGTAAGTGTATAAATATACATTCAAATAAACCACACTAACATTCTTAAAAGGAATTTACAGAAATAGTGTTTTTTTATTTATTCACATACAAAATTTTATAGACTTAAAACAAGAGAAAAAGTCATTAGAGTTATATCTCTATTAGTATATTTTTTTATTTAGCAGAATTATTGTATCATGTTAATAGTATAGTGTACTAATAATATAATATTTTATGTGGGCAGTGTGAATTTGTATTTTCTTCATCTGTCGTGTTAAAGTTTTGTATACGAAATAAAGAATACATTTAATATTCCTATTTTAAAAAAATTATAATATGTTTTTCATTGTTTTTATGATTTTTTATTAATTAATTACTTCTTTATTTTAAATCAAGGGTATAATTTATAAAATAAATAATTATAATTTTGTTAATTTTGACGTTAAGTGATGATTTTGAGCATTTAAAAATAGTAATTTTTTAAAAAATAAAAAATATCATACTTTTATATTCTTGATGGAATAGATATTTTTTAATATTTTTTTCTCCTTTTAATTACCTAAAATTAATTTTAAAAATTGAAGTTAATACTTTTTAAAATAACAAATAAATACAAATATTTTTTAAAAACTAATTCATAAAAGAAAAATAAAAGAGTAACATTTATGCCAACAATTTAATTTTGTAAGATAAAGATTATATCAATATAGAAAAATTTAATAATTAACATTTTTTATGAATAATCTGTTTTGGTAATAACATTTGAATTAGTATTTTTTTTAATAAAGAGTAACTTTTGTTGAAATCGAAAATTAAATTACTTTTGCACTAATTGATCCATATGCTTAACGTGTGAATTTGTATTTTAAGTGCTTATAATGCACCCTGTGTACTTAAATATTTTTCAGAAATTAGGAGGGCAAAACATGATTATTCCTTAGAACTCATTATTACTCTGATCTTAAGTTTCCAATCACATTTAGAAGAGGTATGCTAATGCCTTGATCATTACACTTATTATATCATACGTGCGGTCTTGGCATAACCAATTATGAATTATGCAATTGCAAGGAGAAGAAATCATTTTGCCTGTCCCACTTGGGACTAAATAATGCCGATAAAGACTCATCGTTGTTTTTCTAAGGATCCGAACAGTTTCATTTCCCTTTCTATATTCATGCATACTTACAGAACCTTCACAACATTTAATCGATTTTGATTCTTCTTTTTTCCTTCTTACACATTTTAACTAATCTTTATTATTATTATTTTCACAAATTATAGCATGCAATTTTAATATATAATATTTCACATGTTTTTATCTTTATTTTAAAAAATATGTTTTGATTCTGACCATCTTAATAATCAAAATATATTTTACTCAAAAGAACTCTCATTAAATATGTCATAAGACACTAGTAATGAAGCTTTTAAAAAATAACAATCCTCTTGTGCATAACAGGTTTGCTAGCTAAAAGATGCTGGGGCTCGAAAAACCATCATGACAAGTTCAAGAAGACTAGGATAGGGCTAATCACGTGGAAGTACGTGTAAAGCTGATTGTCCCTACTGCATCAGTGCTTCTAACTTCAAAATATGTGTCACTGCACACTCCCTTCAATTTAGCCCTTCCTTCCACACACCAAAAATGTCCCGTCATCTACACTCATTATATTAAAATGAGAGCCAACTCAATTATGACGCAAGCATCTTCGGGATATAAATGGAGATGTCTATTTTGGTAGAATAAATCAGAAAAATAAACCTATACATAATAATTTTGAGAAGAAATAGGATTACTTAGACATATAAACAATGGTTTTAAAATAATAAAAGTATAATCCGTACGTAATTGTGATGGTAGGTAGGGGCGATCTCGCAATGATAGTGTGCTTCCTTGTTAATTACTATGCTAATTCTCCGGTCCACTTTACCAAACATGACCCACGATATGATATAGGGTTTTGATTTTCTCCCTGTCTTCCATTAAATATAGATATATTCCTATACCTTTTGGATGTAAAATTTATTCTTACTTAACGGTATATATGACCGTAACAACTCACAAAGTATTTGATTCGACGTGTATAAAAATGTATTTTACACAAATGTGAATTGCATCTTGGATTAATTATTAACTCATATCTGATCCAACTTATAATAAATTTATGTTTTAAATACCTTTCTGGCATTAATAACCCATCTCGAATTAATATCGCGTGCATATTGCTCCTTCAAAATCTATGCTTTAACCCAATTTTGGACGACTTTGAATATTGAAAACACATTTCACGCCATTTTCCTAGATAGGGTACGCAATCCTTGGTCAAATTCACACGCACGATTAATCTCATAAATAATTGGATCAATATACGTATTTGTATTTATTTAATTTGAGTTTGTTTGGTAAACATAATAAGAGAATAAAATATAATATATATATATATTTTTTTACATTTGTTTAATCAATAAAACATGAAAAGTCTATATCATATGCATTTATTTTACTATTCTATTTAATGTAAATTTTATTTTGAAAATTAAAAATATGTAAGATATAATTTGTTAATTTAATTTGCATCCAACAAAAATAAGAGTAAATTTTCTTTCATTTTTCCTCTCCTTCCTTACCCTTCAAATCATTGCTTTGTCTCTCCCTTTAAATTTTCAAACAATGCCTAAACAAACTAAAAGTAATACTAATTATTTTCTTATTAATTTTTTTATACTTTACAAAAAAAGTACAATAAAAATTACATTATTCTTTCTTTTACTTTAAAATAACTTTTTTTAGAATAATATATGCAACAATTCAATTTGTTTTAATGTAAACGAACTTTTAAGAGTTAATTTTTTTCTTTTAATAATTCAACATTATCAGCAACTAGTTTTAAATCTCTACTATGAGATTTTAGAACTAAAAAGATAAAATAAAGATTCTAAGTGAATTTTCAAAACCAATAATATGAGTGCTCAAAACACTATTTCATGTACAAAAAAGTCCACAATTGATAACCTTAAAATTAGTTGTCGACGGTCTTATGGGTTGAAGAGAGAAAAAAAAAACACTGAGGAAGTTTATTCATAGTTGTCCACCACTAACTGACTCATTTGAATTAAATAAATTTAACAGTAGCACCTATCAATCTTTCAAGAGAAGGAAATGAAATTTTCTAAATGAGAATAGAGAACAATGTAATTTAATATTTTTTTCCCTTAAAATAGAGTATTTGACTTAATTGTATATTACGTTAAAAAATATATAAGTCATTTAAAACTTGTTTACTTAACAAAATAAACATTAATTATGTTTGTATTTTTAATTTCATAAATATTTTTTTATTTCTTTAATCATTGTGATTGAACAATTATTGTGTGTACATATCTATATTAGAAATATATTTTACTAATATACATGCTAAAACCAATTAAAACCCTGTAAGAACAATATTTAAGAAGTGACAAAATTGATATAAAATTATTAGAATGTATATTAGTCTATGAGGAAAGTTGTTAAAACTAGAACATAAATATCACAGTATAGAAAAACGTTTTCCTAACTAAAATTGGATGCACGAGTGTATGCGTAGGTGGAGACGACTGGTCTCCATGATATGACTACATGAATTGGCCGAAAAGCATGCAGTTTGTAGAAATTTTACAATAGTTACAAACAAGACTCAAGTCGTAATGAATGACTAGATGTTGTACTCACCAAGTGTCCATAATACTTTATACTGTTTTACCTAATAACAAGAGGACAAATTGAGCGTCACCTTTATGTAATGTGCTAACTTGCCACACATGAGATCATGTGAACTGTAAGCATGTGTTATCGATCGATTAGACACTGAAATGACAAAGTAACCACAATTTGTAACATAATTATGTGAACAAGCTGCTTCGCGTAAATTGCTGATCTGGCCGTCTATAATCTTTTTACTATATATTTTCACCCAAATTTTGTTCGGAACGGGATGGTAATATAAAAGTCAAGAATAATTAGTTAGAGAAAGAAAATGATCCAAAAGGAGATGACACGAGGAGCTTATCGAAAAAGAAGGGGTCTATATGTCTCCGATTTGCAGAACCATTTGTCAATCAAGATCATGATTGATTGAGAGAGGATGTTGATGATGAAGATTAAAGTAATAGATGTCATCACTTAAATTGCAAGATAGTATAACTGCCATAGCAATTAATTTATTAATTGGTGATAGTTGAAAAAAGTCTCAATTATTTATAATAATATTTAACTATTTGCAATATTATTCTTTAGTATAAAATCTCATGGAATTGACGGATCGTAATGATTTTCTACCTAGGCATTGATCCTGTGGGCCGCAACCTTATCAAAGACTAGCCATAGAATCAAACACAAAATGTTTTAATTTAGACTACTTGACCAAAAGGAAACACTCTCTTTCACACTTGTTCTAGTCCAATACATTAATAAAGCCTATAATATAAGTTCATTGGCAAGACATAATAATAAGGTGGAGCAAACCATTATAAAACACGTTGGTTGGTTTTGCTAAGCTTAACCATTGGCGACAACGTTGATTGTGAGCGACCAAAGGCAACGGTCTCCAAATTTGACATGAGAATTAATATACAAAGTGGTGTGAACCTAGGAGGAGGTAAAATAAAACAAAAACGATTATCACGCTAAAACGAATGATGAAGGAAACTACTAGTTAGACGATATATACAGTGGTCAATATATATAATTAGACAGAGAAATTGAAAAAAGGTGAGAAGGATGAGAGGGGAAAGGGAAAGTGAAAACAGAGACAGCGCAAAAACGAAACTGCAAACGTCAATAATTGGGATCCATAATTCGTAAGGTGATGTGATGTATAGAGTGAAGAATGAAGGAAAGAGCGGAACAAGAAAATAAATGAGTAGCTAGACTGAGCGCGCGTGCCGTCCGGAGTCATTCAGAATA